GAAATCACAACCCCCTTCCCCCCGGGGCGGGGGAGGGGACCATGGTTGCACCACAATCACTTCTCTTCCGTCCTCCTCTCGGGATTTTGGGTATGCATGCACATGCACCCAGCATGAGTTTAAGTAAAGCAGTCAGGTCTGGGACTCACACTTTAGTCCACTACATGCAAGTCCAGCGACGTAACATTACGCCATCTTCTGGATCCCCTTGACATTTCTAGGCTTATGGAAACATTCCAATCTCTGCCTCCATTTTCAATTACCTTCTTCATGTCTCTCTCACATCTCTCTCTGCCTTCTCTTACAAGAACACTTGTCATTGTATTTAAGCCCACTCTATACAGCATGAGCTCATCTTGAAATCCTAAATTAATTACATCTATGAAGACCTTTTATCCAAATAGGATTGTGTACAGAGTAACTTGGATATATCTTTTTTGGAACCACTCTTCAACCCACTAAAGTCTACCTGCTAGCCCCTCCAATTCATGTCCACATACAAAACACGTTCAACTTATCCAACATCTCCAAGGTCTCAACCCATTAAAACACCAGATCTAAATACAAAATATCGTCTAAATATTGAGTCATTGGGAAAGTCATGATGTATTTTTCTATGCAAAAATGCATATATATTACCAGCTTGAAAGTCCCAAATCTGATCATCCAAATCATCTAAATCATGTATGGGGTATTCCTATTCAAAAAAGGAAAAATTGGAAGAAATGAAAAATTGCTGGTGTCAACTTTGAAATCTAGTAGGACAAATTTAATTAGGTTTCAAGGGCCGAGGACAATCCTTTGTGGCTTTGTGTTTAATATAGGTGAAATGTTTGTGGCTCCCAAAATTCATATTTTGAAATCCTAACTCCCTATGTAATGGTATTAGGAGATGGAGACTTTAGTAGATGATTATGTTTTTTTTGGGGGGGAGAGATTTTCACTGTAGGGCACGTGTGCTCGCCAGACAGACAGAGAGAGACATAGAGACAGAAAGCGAGAAATCACCCCCCAGGGGGGATGGTCACGCCGCAATCCCTTCTCCTCCATTCTCCTCTCGGGATCTTGGGCACGCACGCACACGCGCCCGGCGTGAGTTTTAAGCCACCAGGTCCGGGACGTGAACCGCGGTCGACTACGTGGGAGTCCAGCGACACAGCCATTACGCTAACTGCTGGTTCCCAGTAGATGATTATGTTTTGAGGGTAGAACCCTCATGAATTTAATTAGTTGCCCTTATTTATGTTCTGATTTGCTAGAGGGCACATGTGCTTGCTAGAAAGAAACAGAGAGAGAGAAGGAAAGTGAAGAAGCACCCCCTCCTGCCCCCACCAAGGAGGACAGTCATGCTGTAATCTTTTCTCCCCCATTTTTCCAATTTTGGATTTTGGGCACACACATGTATATACACCTGATGTGTTTCTCAAACTTCAGAGTCCAAGACTCAAATTGAACAGTCAGCCCTGTGGGATCCAGCTTTTTTAACCACCACGCTACTAGCTGGCCCTGGTGCTCTTATTAAACAGACTCCTGAGAGCTCCCTCACCTGTCTGTCATGTGAGGACACAGTGAGAAGACAACAGTTCATGAATCAAGAAGTAGGCCCTTTCCAGACACAGAATCTGCCAGCACCATGATTTTGGATTTCCTATCCTTCAGAATTAATGAAAAACAAATTTTTGTTATTTACAACCCATCTAATCCATAGTAGTTTTTTACAGCAGCCTGGATGGACTAACACAGCTGTACCCTATGGGTCTGCAACAATGGCTCCATCAACCTCTGAGCCCATGGGAGCAGTCAGCGTCTGGGCCACCCTCAGTGGCCTCAGTGGCGTCATTGGCCTCTGGACCACTCTAGGCAGCTTTGCACGTGGAATCATCATTCCTTTTTTTTTTTTTTTTTTTTGAGAGGTTTTTACTATAGGGCACGTGTGCTCGCCAGAAAGACAGAGACAGAGAGACAGAAAGCGAGAAATCACCCCCCAGGAGGGATGGCCACGTCACAATCCCTTCTCCTCCATTCTCCTCTTGGGATCTTGGGCACGCACGCACACGCACCCAGCGTGAGTTTAAGCCACCGGGTCAGGGACTCGAACAGTAGTCAGCTACATGGGAGTCCAGTGACATAGCCATTACGCCAACTGCTGGTCCCTCATGATTCCTTTTTCTCAAGGGATAGCACTTACGTGCACCTGAGTGGCTCTCCCAACCTTTTTCTGCATGTAGAATCCCAAGAGCAATGTGTCAATCTTATCTTTCATGAGTTCTGAGTTTTGTATCTTTCTTAAGAAGGCCTTCTCAGGGCTGGTGGATGGCGTAGCAGTTATATTGCTAGACTTCCACATGGCCGACTGGGGTTTGAATTCCAGACCCAGTGGCATGTGCACTCACCAGAAAGACAGAATTCCACACCCATCAGGTGTGTGTGTGTGCATGCCCAAAATCCTGGGAGGAGAATGGCAATCCCCCTGGAGGGGTGATTTCTCACTTTCCCTCTCACTGTCTCTGTCTCTCTATGATGAGCACACATGCCCCAAGGCAAAAAACCTCTTGAAAAATAAAACAGGCCTTCTCTGCTTATAAGAGTTTAAGAGTTATTCAACATTTTCTTCCAGTACCTTACAACTCTGTTTTTTATAACCATTCCTTCTGAAATTTGTCATGCATCATTTAAAGATGAGCTAAAACTTTAGTTTCCCAATTAATAGCCATTAATATTGCTCCATACATTGCTCAATGTATTGTCTATGATATACTGATATCATACATATGCATATTGGATTTAATAACATTTTAAAAGAATTCTCTCTCTTATTCTCTATGTGGCATATTAGTTATTTACTCTCTTGCTTATTTTGTATTCTGGAATTTTCCCAAGTGACTTATTAAATGTATGCAAATAATAATGTTGAATATGATTCATATAAACAAGGGATTAGTGTTATAATGGATGGCAAGTACATGCAGCCTATGGCAAAAACATCTTAAAAAAAAATTTGAGTACCAGAAGTGGTGTAATGGTTGTGTTGCTGGACTCCCATGCAGTTGACTGCAGTTCGAGTCCTGGGTGTGTAATGGCTTAAAACTCATGTTGGGTGTGTGTACATGTGTGCCCAAGATCTTGAGAGGAGAATGGAGGAGAAGGGATTGCAGTATGGCCATTCCTCCCCAGGTGTGTGTGTGTGTGTGTGTGTGTGTGTGTGTGTGATTTCTAGCTTCTGTTTGTCTGTCTCTCTGGCAAGGATACATACCTATAGCAAAAATTTATCTCTCAAAAATAAATAAATAATGGGTCCGGCAGGTGGCATGGTGGTTAAGGGTGCTGGATTCTCACATGTTTGAGCTCGGTTCAAGTCCCGGACCTGGCAGCTTACTTTGTTTCTTTCTCTCACTCTCTCTCACTCTCTCTCTCCCTCTCTCTCACTCTGTCCCTCTCTGGTCAAATGAAAATAAATAAAGTTAAGCAAAATAATTTTTAAAAATAAATAAAATTTTGTTAGGACTTTAATGGGTTAATAGACTTCATAATTTGAGGAAACTGTCATACTTACAATATTGTTTTTCCTATCTAGGTTCATAATACAATTATTTAGGAGGTTTCTATATCCTTTAGTAAATTTTTCTCATATATATCCTATAGTTTTGGGGCTTATTATTGATCATTTTATTTCTTTAGTTTGGAAAAACATTTTTTTTTTGAGAAGTTTTTGCTATAGGGCATGTGCACTCACCAGAAAGACAGAGAGACAGAAAGCAAGAAATCACCCACCCCCAGGGGGGATGGCCACGCGGCAATCTCTTCTCCATTCTCCTTTTTTGGATCTTGGGCACGCACACGCACCCAGCGTGAGTTTAAGCCACTGGGTCTGGGACCTGAACCACGGTCACCTACATGAGAGTCAAGTGACATAGCTATTGCACTAACTGCTGGTCCCTGGAAAAACATTTTTTAAATTATATTTTAAAATTATATTTTGCTGGTATTTATTAAAGACAATGATTTTATTTATCTTACATAAAGTCACTTTATTAGCCTCTCATGAATTTTGGTAGTTTTTAATTGCTGGATTTTTTGGTGGACAATTATGATATCTGCAAATAATGGAATTTGCCTCTTTCAGTATTGATATCTTTCTCTTTTTTTGTTGATATTATTTGGAATGTTTTCAAGCTTTTATCATTAAATATGTCTTTGAAGATCTTTAGTTTTTCTTTTTAAAAAATATAATTATTTATTTAATTTTATATATTCATTTATTTTAGTGCGATCAGAGAGAGACACAGAGAGAGAGAAAAAGGAAGCGAGAAAGCAAGCCATCCGATTCAGGACTTGAACCATGGTCAGCCATGTGGGAGTGTCCAGTGCCTTAATCACCATTCCACCTGCTGGTCACCATCTTTAGATTTTCTTTATCAGGTCAAGTAAGCTTTGTTCTATTCTTATTTTACTTAGAGTTAATTTTCTTCCTCAGTATTTTTAAGATTATTGTACTAAAGCTACTTTGTTATACAGGGTCTATAAAAGTTCCTTATAAAATTTTTATCAAGATTTTTTATGACCTAATATATTTTCTTTTTTTGAGAGATTTTTGCTATAGGGTACATGCACTCACTGGAGAGACAGAAAGAGACTGATACAGAAAGTGAAAAAGCACCCCCCTGGGTGATGGTCCCTCTGCAATCTTTTGTCTTTCATTCTCCTCTCAGGATTTTGGACATACACACACATGCGCCCAGTGTGAGTTTTAATTCACCATGTCTGGGACTCAAACCGTGGTCAACTATGTGGGAGTTCAGCAATGTAACTATTACATGTCATCTGCTGGTCTCATAATAAAGTTAGTTCTTTTTTTTTTGAGATATATTTTCAACATGTATATATGTTTCATACATGCCTGAAAAATATGAATTATCTGTTTAATTTCTAAATATTAACTTGTGATAATAGAGTCATTTAAATCTTACCTTTTCTTGATAATTTTTTACATTTGTCAAAATTTCTTATGATTGCATATTATTCATTTCTCTTCATATTCTCATAGTTTCGTCCTTCTATTTGCATTTCAATATTGAGCTGTTAGATGCATAATGATTCACAATGGTTTCAACGTATTTGCTGGTTTAATCAGCAAAATATATTCCTGGTTTTTTTTTTTTTTGCGTTGGTTCATAATAGAATTCTTAGCTTTGCCTTGTTACAATTTACTTGATATATTTTTCTCCATCTCCGTATATCCCAAGGTTTCTTATAGATATCCTAAAAATAGCATATCAATAAATATTTTTGTTATCCAAAATAACTTTTTTTTCAAAGGTTTTTGTCATAGGGTGTGTGCGTGCACTGGAGAGACAGAGAGACAGTGAAGGAAAGTGAGGAATCACCCCTCGAGATGATGGCCACACCACAATCCCCGCTGTATTCTCCACTAGGGATTTTGGGCAAACATGCATGAGTGCCTGGCATGAATTTTAAGCCACCAGATCTGGGACTCGAACTGTGGTAGGCCATGTTGGAGTCCAGTGCCTTAACCACCATGTCACCTGCTAGCCTCTCAAAATAACTTTAATGTTTAAGTTATCTTCTTTAAGATTAACTTAATTTTAAAAATTTAAATGGAAAAGGGCTGACGTTAGGGCACAGCAGTAATATGCTGCTCAAGAGAAGCCAGATCCCACATGGCTAACTTAGTGCAAATCCGACTCCCTGTCATTCTGAAACTCACCAGGCACATGGGCAAGTGTCCAAGATTCCATGGGCTGGAAGACTGAAGAAAGGTAGTGTGGTGTGAACATACCCTGTGGAGAGTGCTCCTCTTTCTCTCTGTCACTCTCATGTGTGCATGTATGTACTCTATCATAAATTTTTTTTCTTTTTTTTTTTGGAGAGGTTTTTAGCTATAGGGGGCGTGCACTCGCCAGAAAGACAGAAAGAGACAGAGAGACAGAAAGCGAGAAATCACCCCCCAGGGAGGATGGCCATGCCACAATCCCTTCTCCTCCATTCTCCTCTTGGGATCTTGGGCACACATGCACACGCGCCCAGCTTGAGTTTAAGACACTGGGTCCGGGGCTTGAACTGTGGTTGACTACATGGGAGTCCAGCAACATAGCCATGATGCCATCTGCTGGTCCCCTCTATCATAAATTTTTAAAAATTTTAACCTATTGTGACTGGCAGATGGCGTGGTGGTTGATGGTTCTGGACTCCCACATGGTCGACTGCAGTTCAAGTCCTGGACCTGGTTCCTTGCTTTCTCACTTTATCTCTCTCTCTCTGTCTCTCAAAAAAAAGATGATGATAATAAATCAAGTTAAATAGAACTAATTCCTTAATCATTTTTAACCTATTAACTTTAGTTGCATATATACAGTACCTTCTATTTGCTATGTATTTTCATTTATTTCCTATCTTCAGCTTTATTTGTTTAGTTTTGTCTGTGTCCCCCTCAGCCCCCCGCTTAGGAGTTTTGATATTATTAATATCATTCTCTTCTCTTTTCTGCCTCTTGTCTTTGAATTTTAGAAAATAAACTCAGTTTTTTTCTAAAATGTCAATAATTAATTCATATCCATTAACTGCCTAGTCTGAAACTAGACAAGATCGTTAGTATAATTACATTAACTGTAACTCTGTCTTGAGGATATCATTTGGAATTTTATTTAGATTTTCTCAAATTTTTACTTATATTTTTGCCCAATGTTTATGCTAATTTTATCTTAATAACTGTTATAATTTTCACCACAAATTATTCATAAAAATTATTTTTGTATCAGTTTCACTTCTTTGGTCACTATCATCTTATTCCTCGTGCTCTTCTTGGTTGCATATATTTTTTATTTTCAGTATCTTCAAGTACTACTTTCAGAAAACTCATGGGGATAAAGTTTCTGAGTCTTTTTTTTTTTTTTAGATTTCTGCCATAGGCTGCATGTGCTTGCTGGAAAGAGACAGAGACAGTGAGAGAGAAAGTGAGAACACATCTCACCCCTCAGGGGGAATAGCCACACCTCAATCTCTTCTTCTCCATTCTCCTCCTGAGATTTTGGGCATGCATGCACATGTGCCCAGTGTGACCTTCAAGCCGCCAGGTCCAGGACTCAAACTGCTGTTGGCCATGTGGGAGTCCAGCACCCTAACCACTACATGACCTGTTGGCCCTGAATCTGTCAACATTAAAAAAAAATAATGCCTTGGGGCCAATGTGTTGTACTCGCACATGGCCAACTGCAGTTCAAATCCTGTATCTGGCAGCCTGAAAATCACAGCAGGAGGGGCCAGCAGGTGGCATGGTGGTTAAGGTCCTGGGCTCCTACATGGCTGACCATAGTTCAAGCCCCAGACCTAGTAGCTTGCTTTCTCACTTTTCCCCCTCTTTCTGTCTCTCTTTGGTCAACACACATGTCCTATAGCAAAACTTTAAATAAAAAATAAAATCTAATTTTTTAAAAAAGAAAAGAAAATTACTCTAGGAATGTGTGTATATGTACTCAAAATCCTGAAAGGAGAATGGAGGAGAAGGAATTGTGGCTTGTCCATCCCCTCTGGGGAGTGATTTGTCTCTGTTTCTCTTTGGCAAGCACACTCACTCTGTGGCAAAAACTTAAAGAAAAAAAAAAGCCTTAATATTGCTTTCATATTTGATAATTTTTCTGCACACAGAAATTTAGGATAAAAATATTTCCTTAGACCTTCAAGGAAACTATTCCATTTTGCTTATTGCCCAGAAGTTCGATAAGAGTTTCAATAGCAGTTTGAATACTGTTTCTTCAAAGCTTTCTCATTTTTGTTTTACCCTGTTAAAACAGGACTTTTCTCTATTTTCTTGAAGGTCAGAAATTTCATATGCTATATCTAGATCCCCCCCCACACACACACACACACTCACACACTCATATGAAAACACTTTACTGGTTTCCTTTACAAGGGACAAAAGCATCGTTTAAAAATATTAATCTAGGGCGTGGTGGCGCCCGCCCTATGGCAAAAAAAAAAAAAAATTAATCTAAGGTGATTTAAAAGACTAACCATTTACAAGAAAGGAAGATAAAAATGAAATTTTCATCAAAAGGTACTATAATACCACTTAGAATCTGCTATGGTGATGTTAGTAGGCTAAGAAAGTTTGAGCTACAGCAAAAAAACACATAATGTATGTATAAGAGATACATAGCTGAAGTGAGGTGCTTTCCAGAAATCTGTGGTACACTGACCACTTGGGCCCAAAAGGATATCTGGCCAGGAAAAGGTCTAGATGGTTGGACTAAAGCTAAATGGAAGGAACAGGTGTATCTGAGAATGCAAGTTATACAGTCTTCAAATAGATGTTAATAGATTAGTCTTCCACTCAAGGAGCATTTACTGGCACTTTGCTGTCTCCTCTCTTGATCCCAATGACTCCTCAGGCTGAAAGCTGCCTGCTCCTGCTTTCAGGGGATCCAGCAGCCAGGAAAATGGTTTGGGTTTTTTCCAGAGCTCTTGCTGTAATTAGGTAGATACATTTTTGAGAACTTGTGACACATCAGGGTTGGAGAAGCGAAGAGTGGATTGGGTGGCTTTGTTACTGGTAGCTCTGAACAAAAGTCACCCCTGAAGCAGTCACAGGTAGTCTAGGCTTCTCCAATTACTTTCAAACACCTCTACACCACACCCTCAGAAGTCTGAAATCTTGCAGTGGCTGAACTGTAGTTAAGGTCAGAGGGCTCATAAAATCAGTAACGAAGCCAGAATGAGACAATTGACTCAGGAAATCCCAACAATTAGTCTCTAATTGTCCTTCCTCAAATTATCATAGGACAAACTAACATACCAGATGTAGGATGCAGAAAGTTACACTGGATCAAGCTGGGTCTTCTGCTGAACTTTTCATCAAATACTAAGGGAAAATAACAAGCAGGGTATTTTTTTTTTTTTTTTTTTCTTTCTATTTTCTTTTATTTTAAAATAAAATAACCTGGAAGTTATTCTGTTATAAAGGAACATGGCTGAACAGATAAGAAACAGATTCTCCATTGTGAGTTCTCCGGATGGCTTCTGCAAGGATCATGGAGATGTCTATCACTTGTATTTTGGAGCAATGCCTCATCTTATCCTCCTGAGGTATGGTATTGGTGACTACTACTGCTGCAAAGCAGGCACCATTGATGCGAGAAATGGCTGGACCTGAAAAGATTCCGTGAGTCAAGATTGCATAAACTCTGGTGGCTCCAGCTGAGAGAAGCTTCTCAGCGGCATGACAGATGGTACCACAAGTGTCAGCCATATCATCCACTAGAATAGCCACACGATCCTTCACATCTCCCACAAGCACCATGCGGTCCACTTCATTGGCCTTCTTCCGCTCTTTGTGAATCAAGGCAAAGTCCACATTCAACCAGTCAGCAATGGACGTCACTCTCTTCGCTCCACCAGCATCTGGTGAGACAATAATGCAGTTCCTCCACTCAGAGATATTCTCCCTTATCCACTTCAGGACAGCTGGCTCTGCATACAGATTGTCTACTGGTATGTCAAAAAAGCCCTGGATTTGAGAAGCATGCAGGTCCATGGTGATGATATGGTCCGCACCTGCTATAGACAGCATATTTGCTACAAGCTTGGCAGAGATTGGGGCCCGGCTCTTATCTTTCTTATCCTGTCGGGCGTAGGGAAAAAAGCATGGGATGACTGCGGTAACCCTGCTGGCTGAAGCAATCTTGCAGGCATTAATCATGATCAAAAGCTCCATCAGACTGTCATTGATTTCCCCACAACCACTCTGAACGATATAGACGTCCTCTCCACGCACACTCTCGCCAATTTCCACGCAGGTCTCCTGGTTGCTGAATTTCTTAGTCA